AAAAAAAAAAAAAAAAAAAAAAAAAAAAAAAGCAGAGTACATGCTTGTAGCCCCAGCACTTGGGAGGCTGAGGCAGAAAGGCTGCTGAGCGTTTGAGACCAGCCTGAGGTACATAGTGAATTTAAGGCCAGCGTGAACTACCTAGGAAATCTATCTCACAAGAAAAAGATAAATGATGACAATAAACCCTTGTGTTCCTAAAATTAGTAGGAGAAAGCATATTTATGTTTGGGGGCTTTGGTGGTAGAGGACTGAACCTAGGGCTTTGCACATGCTAGGCCAGCACTAACACTGAGCTACATTCCCGGCCCTGAGCATTTAAAAGCCCAACATTATTTTATGGACACTTTTCTTCTTCCTATTTGCCCTTTCACATCTACTGGAAAATGAACGCCCAGTCTCAAGAACTATTATTTTTAAATCTCCACTATGCATTCACACGTGACTAATGGCAGAGCAAGTCACTGTGTTTTCCTTTGCAATCACACACTTTATGCTGAGGAACCGAGGTGCTCATGGAGCCAGGGACCCAGAGAAGTGTCAGAGCCGATGCCCCGGTGCAGGGTGGGACCCAAGGTCTCTCCTAGCCACGCCAGGTGCCCTCGCCCTCCTGACTGCCTCAGACTCCTACTGCCAAGGGCACTGCCCACCAGAACTGCCCACTGCCTTCCTCACCGACTTTTCACACGGCTCCTCGCACACCTGCCACACTCAACTCACACTACTCAACCAAAAGATGGAGCAGAGCATGGATGCCTTACCAGGCCGGGGTTCTCGGGCTCACCCCAGTGAAGTCTTTTGGACCGGTTCCGGTAGCCCATACTCTGGATGATGGAAATCTCCTCCTCCTTGCCATGTTCAGGAGAATTACTTTCCTTTTTTGAAAAGTTGTAACTGTTTGCAACTGTGAATTATGAGGAAACACAATGTGTAATTAGGAAAAATGTACTAAGAATTTTCATTAATCCTGTGTGTGCTTTTTGTTGTGTTAAAATGATTATTACAGGTATTAAGGGTACCCACAAGTTTTTGAGGCACCACTGAGCTAAATCCCTAGCCTGACCCATAAGTTAAAATGCAACAACAACAAAAAAAAACAAACACTTCACACACTCACAGATTGTCAGTTATTTTTCTTTTTTTTTTTCCTCTTTAAAACTCATCAATTTTCCTATTAATACATTTCACTGAATCTAAGACAGCAACAAACGTAAAGCACACCTGCATTTTCTGTATCATGAAGGAAGAGCTAAATTAAACAATGGCAGACTATTGATGGGAAAATGCTTCCAATCCCCAGGAGGTGAAGATGTGCATTTCAGGACTGATACATAAGGTGTGAGGCAGACAGGAGGGAGTTAAATAGATAGCAAACCACCAGGTGTCCGTCCTCACCTACCCACTGGCGACAACCACACACTTCCAGGGTGCCAGCCGAGCTCGAAACACTCACCCTGCAAGCCGCTATCCAGCTCGAAAGCGTGAATGACTTTCAACAGTTCTTCTACCAGCTGGCTGAACCTTGTGTTCTCCTGTAGGCTTCTGAAATTCAAATGAGAGGCACACTTAGCCAGAGACTATCACCTGTTTAAGGACGCAGAGTGGGGAACAAACATAAGCTTAGGTCGTCTCTGCAGGAACGGCAGAGACCATACACACAGGATCAGAGCTGTCAGCCACCTCACACCATACCCAAGGCCCCACTGGCGGCAGAATAAACTGTGTGGCGGGATGGGTCACTTCTGTAATTCTTTGCCTTCATGTAAGCCTACCGAAGGCCTGATACTTTGTCACACAGCACCCCCGCAAGCCCACGGTAGATATGAATCCCTCACAGCTAGCTCCGCTGCTCAAGGGTTTCCACCAAATCAGAGGACAGACAGACAACAACATCAGAGAGAGATGTGACTTCAGGAAAGCAGACGGAAAGTACAAGCCACCCATTCCTGGAAGTGGCCAAGTGGCCAAGCACCTTCCAAGCCCCGGGCCTTGAAGAAACAGTACCGAGACAAAGTGCCTGCCGCTGGGGGCTCCCCGGGGCAGAAGAGGCATGCCGTCAGGCAGAAAAAATGCCACGAAGAAAGAGCACAGTGGCCAGGGGGACCAAAGCCCCTGATGTCACCCGAGGACGACGCCAAGCGGGTTTACGCCTGGATGTACACGGACAGGGGAAAAGGGCGTGAAAGTTGCTAATAACCACCAAGTGTGGATGTCAGGAAAAACTTCCGGGAAAATAACTGTAGAAAGAATTCACTGCCTGCTACACACGCTTCTGTACACTTCCTATTGGTGAATGGTTTGGAAAGAACGCTGGCCATGTTACCAGAGGATTCCTCCTCCTGCGGCCGCTGTCACCAACCCCCTCATGACACCAATCACACACCTTCTGGTTACACTGTTCTTACACAGAGGACACTGCGAAGGCCCTTTCTTCTGGTCGAGAAGTTTCAACATACAAAATCTAGAAATAATAAAGAAAGAACACTCACTTGCTTTTGTAGAAAACATGCTCAGGCAGAAGGCAAACAGCCATGAAAAGATAATCTCATAACCTTCCCAAGGGTTGCTACAAGGTAATGACAGGTGAATTACAACCAGTGCTTTCAACTGTCTTCAGATGCTGCATAAGCAAAAAAGCAAACTATGTAAGAAATAATCTATGAAAACGGAACTTAAGCGCATATGGCTGTTATGATCAAATAAAACTTATTACAAAGTTAATACAGCGTATTTAACGATCATAATTATGTCATGCTGCATAATCAGACATAATTGAGTAGTGCATGTGAAATGACCATAATCAGGTTGGAAACTCAGCACCTGGGGCGGGGGATGCGTCTCTGTGGCACAGCACCTGCCTGGCACGTACAGGGTCGCGACAGTCCGGGGTGGGGGTGTCAAAAGCTACCTGCGCTGCACTTCGGTTTCATTCATCCATTCACTCATTTGCTTAAACTTGTGTTAGAACATCTTCAGTACGTAACGACTACATTCACCGTAGGGAACTGGTACAGGTACATAACATATTTCAATTTTTTTTCTCCCTTCCCTCTGCCCAAATTAGTTATTTACGTTTTTTTGAGACAGAGTTCTGCTATGTAGCCCAGAATGATCTCAAACTCAGTGAGATCGTCCTGCCTCAGCCTCTTGAGACATCTCTATTCTTTAAGGACACAGCATGGAGGCCATACCCTAACACTCTAATATAATGGGACCAAGAGGCATCTGTGCATAACCCTAACCAATGGTACAACTGAACGATTCAGAGCGGCAGCAGGAAGGGATTCCCGGTCACAGCACTATGAAATGCAGTAGAGCAACGAGCTGAGATGTTGCTGCTGCAGCCTGTACAATAAATAAATAATGCAGGGGATGTAGGGTGTAGAAAACCAGCCAAGACAGGGATCTTAACCTTTCTTTATGCTAGGAAAACAACGCATGAAGAAACATAAAAGTTGTTAACTAAACTCAAAAGAGAAAATGAAGCTGGGCACAGTGGCACATGCCTATGACTCCAGCACTCCGGGAGGCGGAGGCGGGATTCCAGGTTTGAGCCCCGCCTTGGCAACTTAGCAAGAATGTCTCACAAAATATAGAAAGGGTTGAGGACATAGCTCCGTGTGAAGGCGCTGGGCTTAATCCCCAGTACCACAAAAAGGAAAGAAAAGAAAAACAGAAGTGAATTTTTATGACTCTAAATGACTGAGCTAAGAGACATCTTGAAGGATCAACAGAGCACTGGCCCAACACCAGCGCTCAGAGAAAGAATTCTGAGGTCTGTGTCTGTCGGGGCTCCAGGGAGTCTCCGTGGTACACTGACCACAGGAAAGTACTATGTAAGTTTTACACAAGGCTCACAGTGAGAAGATGTGAGACAAGCTTTGGCTGGGCATGGTGACTCACACCTGCAATCCTAGCGCTCTGGGAGGCTGAGGCAGGAGGGTGGCAAGTTTGAGCCCAGCCTGGGCAACTTGGTGAGACGTAGTCTCCAAAAAAAGGTGGGGGGAGCTAGGGATGTAGCTTGATGTTCACGCCCTGGGTTCAATCCCCAGTGCACGTGTGTGCGGACACACACACACACACACACACACACACACACACACACACACACACACACACACAGTAACCTGTTAAATACTGGGCCTCTCTTATTTCAGTATCCATCTGTGAGAAACTGGTTGGCAACATACTGCTCCTGAGTCCACAGAGCTTTAAAGGTAAAAATTCTTAAAGCAGAAAGAGAAAGCTGTATTGCTCTGGCATGTGGCCAGGGAGGAGCCCAAAGGTCTTTTGAAGCTGCTGGGCCCAGATCTAAACCAGCAGGGCGCCGGGGACAGAGTCAAGAAATGGGCTGCAGATTCTCAAGGGGACAGAGGGCCGGGAAGGAAAGAGGGAGCAGCGGGAGGAAGACCAGGTGGGGGAGGGGGGCGCCGAGCAGACCCTCCACAGGGAACAGGTTCCTGCAGCTTCAGCCAGAATTCGTTATCCTCAGGCAGCAGCTGTCCCCCTGTCTACATCATGCAAACAGCAGAAGATGGGTGACAATTATGGACCTTTCCCAGAGAAAGTGCACACCCCTACTTCCTATTACAACTGAATTTAAAATTGAATGTTAAACCTGGGCATGGTGGCACACGCCTGTAATCCCAGCACTCAGGAGGCTGAGGCAGGAGGATCGCTGTGAGTTTGAGACCAGCCTGGGCTATAAAGTGAGTTCCAGGTCAGTCTCAACTACACAGTGAGACCCTGTCTCAACCCCACCGCCAAAAAAAAAAGAATGTTAGGAAATTCACAAAGTCCAAGTTAAAAAATTTCTGAAAGGATACATATGAAGTTAATAACCACAGTCGTCTCTGGGAAAGGAAATAGGAGGCAAGGGTTTAGCGATGAGAAAATACACCATGTCCATACCACTGTTTTAATAAACCCACTACTAGGTACATAGTTTGCCTTTTCAATTACTTTGAATTTTTTTTTTCTGGTAGTGGGAATCAAACTCAGCACCTTGCATTTTCCAGGCAGGAGAAGTGCCACCGAGCTACATCCTGGCTCTTCTGTTAACTGAAAAGGCAATGGGCCAGGGATGTAGCTCAGTGGTACCACACCTGCCTCGCAAGTGCAAGGTCTTAGTTTGATCCCCAGTACCAAAAAACAAAAACAAAAAATCAATTAAGAGAAAAATTATTTTAAAAACTCACTGAAAACTGGACATGGAGCCAAACAAGTATAAGGCCAGCCCTCTGGGTCTAGATGTAGAGCCCGCATGACTGGGACCCTTGGTGTGAATTAATCTCAGCCTGTGCAGAAACTGCCCTCGGACCCCTCCTATCTTCACGAGGGTCATGGAGCAGGGGATGCTGAACTTTCGAGGAGAAGCAGAGGACACTCAGAGGTGAAAAGAACAGACTGGGAGGCAGAAACACAATAAGCATACTTCACAACTGTTTGCGGCCTTCCTCCACCCTTGGACACAAAAACCAAACAGCTGTACAGGAGGATTTCACACGCCTCCCACACACAGGTAAGCTGTGCCAATAGCCCCCGGGAGACGCCTGCGACTGCCTGCCTGTCTGTGATGGCTGTCAGCATTGAGTTGGATTTTTTCATTGTCACTGAACAGAATAAGCTAAAGAAAGCCTCTACAATGTCCAGTTTTCCCTGTATCATAAGAACAAGCACAAAGCTAATAAAGGAGTGACAAAAGCCACTTAAAACTTACTTGCAAAATATGTGGTCACATTTTGTGGAAACTGGTTCTTTGATCAATTCCAGACTAGAAAGAGGGAAAAGAGAATCATAAATTAGGCTCGATAATTTATTTAAAAATAAATATATTTTGAGTAAAGAAATTTATGGTAACTGAGGGTGAGTTAGGGTTTTTATTTTTATATTTTTTATTTTTTGAGACAGGGTCTCATTATGTAGTTCAGGCTGGCCTTGAACTCACTATGTGGTCCAGGCTGCCCTCAAACTTGCAGTGATTCTCCTGTCTCAGCCTCTCGAGTGCTAGGACTACAGGTGTGCGCCACCATGCCCAGCAGTATGGCTTTAAATTTCTTCAATACTTATTAAATGTCTGCTAGGCTATGAGTGAAGAAAATATGATCTGTGCCTTTCCTGAGCTTTCAGACATTAAAACAGTTACAGGCCAGACATGTGGCTCAGTTGCTGAACACCGGCCCCACATTCATGCGGCACTAGGCTATATCCCCAGCACCATGAGAAAAACAAAACAAAACCAAGAAACAAACAGCCCCCTCCCAAAAACAAAACCAAGCACTTCCAAAAATTAGATCTTTTCAGTGTTCTATATTGTCATTAGCTTTTTTTTTTGGTTTGGTTTTTTTTTGGTGGGACAGGGTCTCGCTATGTAGCCCATGCTGGCCTCAAACTTGTGGCAATCCTCCTGCCTCAGCCTCCTGACTGCTGGGATTACAGGCGCGCAGCACATCTGGCTTGTCATCAGCAGTTAAAACATTAATTGATAATATTCCTATTAGTCTTCCCATAGCACTTTTTTGAGCTATCATTTTCAGCACACCCCCTGCAATGTAAGTAAATGCTAAACTCTACAAAGAAAAACCTTTCGCTCACAGTAGTTTCCCCTTATCCATATTTTCACTCTCTGCAGTTTCACTTATTTGTAGTCAACAATGGTCCAAAAATATGAAATGGGAAACTCCACAAAGAAAGCATCCTAGTATTTTAAATGGCACGTCCCTCTGAGCAGCAGGGAGAAGTCTTGCATGGTTTCTCCAGGAACATGAATCACCCATCTGGGGGTACAGGCTGCCCACGTTCGTCACCTGGCGGAGGGTTTGGTTATCAGAATGTCAAGTGACAAGCACTGCTGTGTCCAAGTGGCAGTCAGTTCCTTTAATAAGGCCCCAAAGCGCAGGAGCAGCCACGCCGGCAATGGGATATGGCACAGCTAAGCCAGGAAGTGGAAACTGCAAGCGTGTCTTAGGTCTGCCTGCCTGAGGGAACAGAGCACAGGCTTCTGGCTACACAGCCCCAGGTCCACTGGGCTCCTGGAATGTTACCCCCACAGAAAGAGGAACAACTGTGTATCTCTTCTGGATTACTTCAGAGAACTTTCGGGGCACGTGATTGCCTTTTGAGTCAATGTGGAAGATTTTGAGCATTTATAAATATGGTGAAATGGGCCAGGCGTGGTAGTGCACGACTGCAATCCCAGCACTCAGGAAGCTGAAGCAGGACTGAGTTCGAGGCCTGCCTGGGCTACATAGTGAGACCCCCGTCCGCCTCCATAAATGAAATGAACTCCGTGTACCACCACCCAGTTTCAATGACTGTCAACCACTGGCGAGCCCTGTCCTGTCCATACACACACCTGCCACCACCTTGGACAGTTTGTAAACAAACACAGGCCAACAGGTCATTTCATATTTGCAGCTCCAGGGACTCAACCCAGGGACAAGTCCTCTTCACCAAGCTGTAATCCCCAGCCTTTTTTGTAAAATTGTTTTTGGACAGAATCTTGCTAATTTGTCCAGGTTGGCCTTGAACTTACGATTTGCCTGTCTTTAGAGTAGCCAGGGTTACAGGTTTGCACCAGTGCAAAACGCTAGACTTTTTAGCCTAAGCATAAAACCACTATTACTCCTAAAAATGAATGATTGCATTTATTTCATCTAATAGACAAGTAATGTTTCAACTTGTGTCATACAATTTATTTTTAATTGTTCAGCATATCGACATCAGTGCCCAAGCCATTTTCACGCTGCCTTTGCTTCATACACCTCAAGTCTTCTTTCATCCGCAGGGGGTCTGTGTTTCCTTCTTGCCACTTATTTAAAAATTAGATCCCTCTCAAGTACAAGGTCCTGAGTTCAATCTCTGGTACCAAAAATAAATACATACACACTAGATCACTTATTTTATTTTTGAGACAGGGTCTCACTATGTAGTTGAGACCGACATGGAACTCACTGTATAGCCCAGGCTGGTCTAGAACTCACAGTGATCCTCCTGCCTCAGCCTCCGGAGTGCTGGGATTACAGGTGTAGCGTGTGCCACCACACCAGGCCATACTAGATCATTTAAAGGCAGCATTTCCTGCATTCTAGATTGTGCCAATTGCAGCCCCATGTGTGGTTCAGCGGTCCCTCCGGTTCGGGTGGTGAACAGTGGCAGGCTGTTTGTATCATAGAAAGCTCCTTTACTATGGTTTTCTTTTTAAGACAAAAGATTGTTTTTTCTCCACTAAAACATTAGGACTCAGGTTTAGTTGCAGTGCTGGTGCTCTGGGCCTCCTCTCTAACTTCCTTATCTCCAGGAAACAGCACCTACCGCGAGATCCAAGTCAGGTTCCACTTCTGGGCAAGAACATCTCCAAGTGGCACTGTGTACTTCATCACGTCACTTTAGGAGGCTCACGGTTTGGTTTCTGATTACTTTGTAAAAACACTGTTAATAAACACTCCCTGCGGGCATGGTGGTGCATGCCTGTAATCCCAACACTCGGCAGGCTGAGGCAGGAGGATTGCTGTGAGTTCGAGATCAGCCTGGGCTAGCTACATGGTGAGTTCCAGGGCAGCCTCAACTACATAGTGAGACCCTGTCTCAAAAAACCAAACCAAAACAAAACAAAACACTCCCTAAAGGAAATTCCCTCCTTTCTGTTCACAAAAATCTGTCTTTCTGAAAGTCGCTTAAAGTACAGACCCCCCCCCATGTATATCCATATTACAGGAGATTGAATCCAGAACCTCTGTACCAAGCTGTATACCCCAGCCATTTCTCTAATTTTTATCTGGAGACCAGTTCTTGCTAAATTGGTTAGATCGCTAGAGTGGGCTCAAACTTGTGATCTTCCTGCCTCAGCCTCCCAGAGTGCTGAGGTCATAGGTGTGCACTACCACACCCAGCCATATAACAAATATTAAACATTTACTATATGAAAACTCTGACTGGAATACAGTGGTGAGCACCCTAATGCCTGCCCTCATGGAATTCACATTCTAGCTGTGGTAGACAGGTGAGATGAGAAATAACTAAGAACAGATGGGAATCGGTGTTGAAGAGAAAAAGAGCAGAGGAAAGGCAACACGGAGAGCTGTGTGTGTGAGGGGGACCCAGGGTGGTTATCGAAGGCCTCACTGGAAGACACTGGAGGACAAGAGAACAGTGCAGGGAACCAGCTGTGGGACCCTTGGTGGGAGAAAAACCCAGCAGGGGCAGAGGACAGCAGACAGGCCAGGACCTAGGGTGGCTGGGGACAGCATTGTGCAGACAGCTCTACCTGAGCAGCTGGGAACCCAGGGGCGACCTCAAGGCTTCCACCTTTGCTGAGTGGGGGCTTCAGAAGGCAGTTTTCCTTGGCAAAGCCCAGGCAGGACATTAAAGAGGTGACAGGGATGTGGTTCTCTTCAATGAACACCTAACTTCTGGAAAAGGATCTGGAGAAAAGATGGGGACGACAGGCCTACAGTTCTAACAGAGCCACCTCAGTTTCCTTCTGCCGCCACCGTGCTGGGCTTCTGGGGCAGCTGTGAGACCAGCTAGATGCTGGGGAAGGTGCTTCCCAGCAAGAGGGACTTATGCCCAGGTCAGCATTAGTACTGGGAAGAAACGGGACTTTAAAAAGGAAAACGGTCCCCACAAAGAGAATTGCAATTTGTCACTAAATCACTACTCATAAGACAAGCTAGACAGCAAAGAAATTCTCAGGAAAAGAGGAACTGGATTTAGCTGTGGCACCAGATGGCTTTCATTCTCACCAATGATTCAACCCTGAAATAATTATATTTCAGTACGGTAATTATAATCCAAACTATACAAACACTCCATAAACACAAACCCTGAGCAGATGAAACTCCAACGTGGAAAAGGTAATGACTGGGTAGGAGGAGCCTGCGGATAAACAGGAGTGGAGCGAGAGCAAACTCCAACCCCCTCTTTTACTACAAAAGAGATTCAAGGGGCTCAAGCAGTTTTCAAACCAGATCATATTTTAAGCCCATTACATATTTGAATTCTGAACTCTCACTAGATAATTCACTGAATAAAGAAGCTATATTTATGTTTGAAAAGCAAACTGTAATTTCATTTTAGCAATTGGGGGGGGTACCAGGGACTGTACTCGGGATCCTGTACTTTAGCAGCAGGCAGCAGAACCTCTGAGCTAAATCCCCAGCCTATCAACTTTTTTTGAAAGTCAGAAATATTATAGTCACATGTAAAAAGCTAGAAAAAGCTACCAGTTATCTTAATAACCAGTGGAGGCAGGCAAAGAGACACACACCTATAGTCCCAGCCTTGTGATAGGACCACTTGAGTCTCGGAATTCAAGACCAGCCTCAGAGCTGGGCCTGGATGTGCATACCTATCACCCAGTACTCAGGAGGCGGAGGCAGGAGGATCACCCTGAGTTCAAGGCCAGCCTGGGCTACAGAGCAAGACCCTGGCTCAAAAACCAATATCAAAACCAGACTAGCTTAGGCATCACAGCAAGACTTTGTCCAAAAAAACAAAGAAAAAGGACTGTAAGCATTGTAAAGTAAAAGCTTTCGGGTGTAGCCAAAGGAGAACATTTGTCTAAAACACACAGGGCTCTGAGTTCAATGTTCAGAACCAAAAGAAAATGACAGAGAAGCAGGTACAGCCCCTACCTGAAACTTCCCACATAAATCAGTCTACATGAACAATGACTAAAAGTTAGCCTTCAGTCTATGTGTAACAGAAAACAGAGGGGGCGGGGGAGAAGAATAGTAAAAAGTTGGAAAATCCAATAGCTGACAGAAAATAAAAATTTAGCAGTAACTTTCATTCTTGCATCTTTAATTTTTATGTATCTGAGTTTTTTAATTGATGGTTTAATTTGGCAGAGTGAGAAGGAACATTACATTTTTTATGACTGAGTCCCATGGGAATGCAAAATAAATGGACCCAAACGCCACATTATCGAAGACTTTTGATCACTCTATAATTATCATGAGTAAGTTTTGTCCTTTTTCAAAAGCAATTTTTTTCCTACAATTTTATTTCCTGCTTCTGCGATGCTGATGTTTTGTAAATGAGGCTGCAAATCTCATTTAGCTCTTGCTTTGTTGGGCTGAAATGTTGAGGGGTAAGGAGAGGATGGTTACTTATAAACCCTATATCCCCAAGAACACAGTTACACGATCCTAAATCTTAACTTAATTCCAAACATAAAAAACAACTTTGCTGGAGCACAAAAGCAAATTCACTTGAATTTACCCTCCTTTATCAAAGGTTAGTGCAACTGATACAATTTTTTAAATTTATTTGTTGAATGTTACCCACTACTAATCATCACCATTAAAAAAAAATAGTGGGGAGTTGGGCATGGTGGCGCATTACCATAAACCCGGCACTCTGGGAAACTGAGGCAGAAGGACCACAAGTTCGAGCTCTGCGGGGTAACAGTGAGCAGAGACACTGTCTCAAAACAAAAAAGGGGAAGTGGAGCATAGTGGGGCACGCCTGTAATGCTAGCACTTGGGAGGCTGCGACAGGAAAGAGGATTACTTTAAATTCAAGACCAGCCTGGACTACATAGCAAGACCCTGTTTCAATAAATAAATTACACAAAACAAAATAAAAATAAAAATAAATTTGAAAGGGCTGGGAATTTAGCTCAGTAGTTCTACCACCTGCCTTGCAAGTGCAAGGTAGGGTTCGATCCCTGGTACCCTCAGGAAATAAATAAATAAATAAAGGGTTGAGGATTTATCTCAGGTGGTGTTTGAGGCACAAAGCCCAGGATTTAATCCTTGGTAAGGAAGGAAAGTAAATTAATTAAAAAAAAAAAAAAAAAAAAAAAAAA